TCTGTCCTCAGGTGTTCTGGTCCATCTGTCCTCAGGTGTTCTGGTCCTCCTGTCCTCGGGCGTTCTGGTCCACCTGCCCTCGGGCGTTCTGGTCCACCTGCCCTCGGGTGTTTTGATCCACCTGTCCTCGGGCGTTTTGGTCCACCTGTCCTCAGGTGTTCTGGTCCACCTGTCCTCGGGTGTTTTGGTCCACCTGTCCTTGGGTGTTTTGGTCCACCTGTCCTTGGGTGTTCTGGTCCACCTGTCCTTGGGTGTTCTGGTCCACCTGTCCTCGGGTGTCCGGTGAACTGGTCTACTCGTCTCAAACAGAAAATCTGAAAATGACTGTTTCATCGTCTCGTTTTCAAAAGCGTGGCAGAAGACGGACAGAGGTATGTTCTAACTTCAGCTCTGCCTCTGATCGTGTCCATCAGAACTTCCTGCTGGTTTGAATGTTTGGATGATCACCGACGACTGAAGGGAGCGTTTGGATCCAGCGTTGTTGACTGAGCTGAACCAAGACTCTAAAATTAATGTTTCTAATGAAATGTTCAGATCTTTTGTTCTTTCTGGAACGAACGTTCACGTTAATTCTTTTCTGTCGCACGTTGTCAAACCTGTTGAGTCAGCGAGGAAACCCTTCCAGTGGGAATGAAGTTTTGACGATGTTTGCAACTTCAGCAGAGGAAAACGTCCTCGCCGTGGGAAACTCCACGCCGTTTCTTTCACACCTTCATTCAGGATGAATCGGTCGATGTGCAGCACTGAGAAACTCATCACTCCCGACTTTCCAGAACCAGAACTCCAGAGGTTTTTCTCTCGTCGTTCTTACACAAACGGCTTACCGCTCAGTGAAATACCATACGCCGAGTGTTCGTCAGGGCAGTGCCCCGTAATGTACCGTGTGATGCTCGCTCTCGAGGATAGATGTTGCAGTTAATCTTTAAACACTTAATAACCTCCTCTACCATCCGGTGAACTCGGGCAGATGCCTGGAAAATATCCAAAAGCAGCAGTTGTGGGGAAAAATCCTCTGAAACGGTCACCATCACCCTGCACCCCCATGGAAATCCAAATTCATGTCGGAGCTCATGGATGTGGAACATGCTTCATCTGAACAAGATGTTCTTGGTGAATAAAACCATGAATCTCCCTGATTCGCTTTAGATCTGACTCCATCACTCCACAGGTACCAACACACACGGACTGAAGCATTAATGCTGTCAGATTCCACTTTCAGCTACTTTTAGCAAACTTTTTGATACTTTTGGCTAGTTTACCTTTTGTTACTGTTAGCATTTTGTGACAAGCTTTTACTTCACCTTTTGCTTCTTTAAGCTTGGCTTTTGTTACCTTTTGACTCTCAACTAGCCTTTGCAGCTTTTATCTAGACGTTTTATACTTTTAGAAAGTCTTTAAAAACTTGTCGTTTTTGGCTAGCTGTTTTACAGTTTTGCAACTTTTAATTAACCATCTGTTACATTTAGCTAGGCTTTTCTGAGCTCTCACACACTCTTGCAATATTCCAAACAGTTTCTGAACTCAACGCTCTTAAAGAGACGTCATGATCTCAGCTCCCTGCCTCCTCTGCTCTTTGCCCCCTGCAAGCGCTCTTGGCCACGCCCACTTCTCTGCTGCACAGAGAACAGCTGATCAGCTGCAGCAGGAAGTTTATTCTGCGGTATGGGCTGCACAGAGGTGCTAAATAATTTAAAATTTATTTTAAATAAAAATCCCATGCCGATCGTGCGGCTCATCCATCACTCAGCCAATTGTGTCATGTCCAATCTTATTTTGAAAAACCGCGATAAGAGCGAGTCTGCGATAAACGAACTGCCAAGTAGCGAGGGACTACTGTAATTGTAACTTTCTCTTTAATTAATATTTTGTAATGGTTAGCTGCTAGCTACTTTTATTTTTAACTTTTGGATAATCTTTGGTGCTTTTAAAACTTTCAGAAAGACCTTTAATACTCAAAACTTCTGTTACTTTTAGCTAGCTTTTTGTGTGCACAAGCTTATAGGAAGGATTTTGCTTCTTTTGGCTCGCATTCGATTACTTTAAGCATTCAGTCTTTTTTGTTTTAACTAGTCTTTTATGACCACTAATTTCTAGACTTTGCTGATTGACTTTAATAAATTTTGTCTCGCATTAAACTTCTGTTCATTTTAGCTAAGCTTCTGCTTTTAACTTTCAGCTCACCTTTTGTGATCAATTTCTACCTAACCTTTCAGATTGTTAGCTTTCAGCTAACAGTTGCTGCTTTTAGCAGACCTTAAATTATTTTCAATATTGTTTTGCTAATTTTAACTAAATTTAATGGTAGTTTACCTTTTTTTAAACAAATGATTTATCTTGCCACTGAATCCTACTTCAAATGTTGCTCTGTCCCCAATTAACTTAAGAGTACTACACATGGCACATTATACGCCTGTCAACAAACTATTTTACAGCAATGGCCCAGACAAGCAAAGACCTTGTATAACATTTGACCTTGACTTGTGACCTTGTAGCTGGAGTGATGAAAACTGTACATAGCACTAAGTCTAGTGATGATGTGTATGAAGTTTCATTAAATTATCTTGAGCACATCGCAAGTTATTTCCTGGACAAGCAAAGACCTTGTATAACGTTTGACCTTGATTTGTGACCTTGACGTGCATCTAAACAATGAGCTCACAACTAAGTCTGGAAAAACAAACACTTTTAAATAAATACCTTTTTTTTATTCTGTTATTGGCATTTACAGGTACAAAGCATACAGCATGTTATAGTTATCAAAAGTGGAAAATACTGATGTTACGCATGTAACAAATGTAAAAAATAGGTCGTCCGTCTTACTTTCCCCGAAAGTAAGAGCACATTTCAGCGTATGAAAATATCCATAAAAACACTGCGTATGTAATTTAAGTTAATAAACAGTACAAAAATGTAGAAACCATACATGTCAATAAAATGAACAAAGGACACTGACAAAACATGGAATTCAACAAATGTACACAAGTTTTAGTCGGGGTCTTTTTTTTTTTTTAAAGGATCATCACCATAATAACGATTGGCTGGTCAGAGAATGTTAATGTAACAAAAACTACCCCCACCCACCCCCGAATCAATAAAAACCTCATCTCCTTAGGCCAGAAAACAAACAAACAAACAAAAACAGAGGAGAAGAAAGTGCTCTCCTGTTTCCTCAAATGTCTGTAAGGCAGCAGACCTGATTCTGTCTCACTCTTCAGACAGTCTTTGTGAACAGAGACAGAAAGGAATCGTCTCTGTGGTGGGGCCCGTCCTCTGTGCACACATGGTGGCATCACGTGCAGTTAGAACACACCTGGTTCCCATTAAGTAAATCAAAGTTTGACACCAAGTTTCTTCACACTGGTGTTATCCACGTTATCTCGCAACTGTTAATGTGACAGAAGGTAAAGAACAGAAAGGTCTGATCGAGATAACTGGAGTGAAACTGAATTCAGACTTGACACCCATGGATCCCCTGAAAGACGAATCCCTAAAACAGTCTGGTAAACTAATCCAAAGTGGCAATGATGAGCTCTGTCACTTACAGGTGCAGTTCTTTCTGCCTTACTGCACTGAAAGTCGTCTTTTACGTTGAGTATTCACAAAAACATAAAGTCCAAAGTTGTTCCAAAATATACAGCGTTACTTTTTTTAACGGAGAATGACATTATATTCTACAGCATCGTAATAAATAGTCTCACACATATTGCTCGGCTTCTCCTTCGTTTAGGATGGTCACCGAGCCGTCCCCACTGTTCATTTCAATGTCTTTTGCAGCCGAGTTCTCGGGAAGCGAGGCTAAGTCCTTGAACACGTCTACATACTGTCCAAAGCCGGGGCCCCAGTTCAAAAGATTGTCCCAGTTGAAGCCCCCAGCTTGTTGGCCCATTTTGTGGGGCAAGGTGTAATGCTGCTCAATGGAGGGCGTAAAGCCAGGCCCTCCTTCTGCCCGCCGACCCGAGTACCGCCTCTGCTTCAGCCTCCCGCCATAGTCCTCGTCGTCAGCGTCAGACTCATTGACTTGAGAGAGCTTAGGAACCCGGGAGCTGTAGGAGACCGGCTTGTCTCGATCGTACTCCATCTCTGAACAAGTGAAGGAGTCATGTGAGTCACTTTCCGAGGAGGACTCTGGTGCAGGGATGCCGTCGGCTGGGTTGCGGACCCTCGACAGCGGCCTGCGACAGTCCTCCTCTGAACTGGATCGACCGTGATCAGCGCTGCAGATGCTGGGGTTGCGTGGACGTGGAGTGTTAAGGCGCTCCACCTCCTCGATGGACAGTCCCACAGGAGGCCCCGTCTCCAAGGGGATCTGCTCTATCGGTTGTTTCAGTCGACTGCTCGGCCTTGAGGTGTGGCCGTGGCTGGCCATAGTCTGGGGGCTCTTGCTGCGCCGCCCCAGCCGGGTGGCATAGTTGAACATAGGTGGTGGTTGACACATGTCATTGTGCATGTCCAACGGGCTGCCTTCCCGACGAGCCAGGTTGAGCTCTCTGGTGGGGGTGTTGCGGTAGAAAGTTGAAGGTTTGGTAAACGGGGCGGGAGAATGTCTGGAGAGAGGGTTTGGGGTGGGACAGGCTGAGTGGGAGTGACTGAGTGGAGTTGACCTCAGTGCTTGGGTGTACTGAGGTTGGTAGGTGTAACTTGTCGCTCCAAGAGGTAGAGGAGACTGTCTGGCAAAGCCCAGTGGGCTGTGTCTCTGGATGGAAAACTTGGGTGTGTGGCTTCGGAACTGCTTGTAGTGTTGAATGATATCAGCATCTGAAGGAGCGATGCTGCTGGCATTGTCTATATCATAATGTTCAATATCTGCCTCTGGCCCATTGCAGGGGGCACAGGGCGCACTGGGGACAGTCTCATTGCTGTGGGGAATGTCTGTTTCATCATAGATCAGATAAGGGTTCTCCCTCTCAATAATGTCCGGCTTCGGGTTCCCTTCTGGTTGTTTGCGTACAGTCATGTCATCTCCATAAGGCGGGATGTTGTCTGGATCATCGAAAGCTACATTCTCACTCCCCTTCTTCTTTTTCTTCTTCTTCTTCTCCTTAGGTTTCTTTTCCTTGGGTTCCTTTGGCACTTTGGTCTTGTTGCGGTCCTTGCAGTGGTTGCACAAGATCAGGCTGAGTACCACCAAGGCAAGGACAGTGGCACAGCTGCCAACAATAGCTGGTACGGCCCATATTGGGAGGACCATGGTCTCTGCTGTGGGGCTGGGGCTGCAGATGAATCCACCATCGTTTGCGGTGTTGCAAACTGTTCCCTGAGGACACTGCACCCCCAGACAAGCCACCAGGGTCTCGCAGGTCTTGCCAGTGTGCAATTCAGAGCAAACACAGGTGAAGCCCGAGTGTGGATCTGGCACGCAACTGCCGTGGTTCTGACAGGGATTAGAGGTGCAGTCGCCAGGCTGGACACACTGATATGTATACCACTGGTTGACGCACATCAAGCCATTCCCACACGGGCTGCTTTCACACAGGTTTGGACCTCTGCACCCAATTTTGACAGATGAACTGGTCTTAGTTAAGGCGACGCGGTCGTGCTCTCCGGTAAATGGCAGGTTCTCCCCGTTGTACTTCACGTAAGCCAAGCAGCCATCAAAACCTGCAGAAAAACAGAAGAAAGAACCACCCAGTTAACAAAAACCAGGCAACAGCAGCTAACAAGGACACAACAGAGGCCTGAAGGACGAGAGTTTCCGATTATCTGCAGACCGGTGGTTTTAAAAACGTCTTCCAATACTGGTTGATTGCTTACAAACAGAAGGATCTGGGAGCTGCAATCAGAGGTGAAGGGTTCAAGCTTCCAAAAGAAAAATACAGAATAAATCAACTCAACACAAAACAAAAAAATATCTTTAAAACATGCTTCACGGGCCAATTTAAGGGAAGATATTTTAAAATGTTCTCTGACAGAGAACCCTTCGCTTGATGACATGCATCTGGGTTGGATGAATGTCTCCCGTGTCTAATTCAGCCCGCTGCTTTGTGCGTTGCCTGACAGCGCTGCCTCACCGACGTAAACAGAATTTTATTGAATTTATCCCAGCGCAGATTAAATCCATTTGGGCCCTTTCGTTCGCTTGAGGGGAAAGCAAGCGCTCGGCAGAGCTCGAGCGTTCAGACACAGAGATAAAGAGCGGTTAACAGGCGGTCTGCGTGCTGACATGTTTGTTTTGAAACGGTCCCTTTGCACAAGGCCTCAACAAATTATTCAAAATGCTCATTTTTACCATATTAGTCCATAGAATAAGCTTTGCCCCCCACCCCCAATGAAACCCTTAAATGTACCGTGTTGCATTACGGTACCTCCTTTCTGTTCACGTTTTCCAAACATAAACTCAAGGACGTCTGAGCTGTGATCGAAGACAAAACAGAAGCGTCGACCAAAGTTTATGGACCAACGGAAACATAAAAAACCTTCGTTGGTGGATTAATCCGTGCACACAGCCTCGAATACAACACGTGAAATCAGCCGAAAGTTATTTACAGAACAAACGGCAAATAAATTGAATGCAGTTTGAAATACTGACGAAGCAACAAATGCAGCTCCGACGTGCGTCAGGATTTTCTTGGCTGCCGGTTTTATAACGTATTTTAGAAACAGTCGCGTTTTTAAAATGTACGAATGAACTTTTTAACATATTGATGTTTGAAGGAGGCAAGATCTAAACTGTGATTTTATTTCTGCAATAAATTTCACGAATGTTTGAACAAAACAAACAAAACTATCTTTCAAGAAGAAAAATGACTGAACTGATGCTCGTAAAGAACATTTTGATAATTAAGTCAGTTATTAAATGTCACTTTTATATTTCTAACTCTAACATTATCTGTTTTTTGACACGGAGATGTCATCTACCTGTCACATGACTGTGAAATGGTGATTTTATTTTTGACCTGTGATTTTTGTCTGTTAGCAAAATATTTCATGAACTACTGGATGAATTGAAGTAAAAATCCCAGGAATTAATTATTGGATGTACATCTACAACCGATTGTCTTTTGGACCCAACTTGATCCAAGATGGCCACCACAGTCAACACAGACAAATGACAGATATTTGTACAGTGGTAATGTAGTAGCCGAGTTTATCCTCAACATGTCCTCTAAGTGAAAAATGATCTTGAGAGATTTTCCGTCGGGTCAGATTGTGTTACGACATTTACAAACTTTAACCAATCTCTGTTTATTTTCCTAAAACAGTTCTTTTAAAGCTAACAGGGTTGAGTCGGGTCCTCCAGGCGGATTCTTCTTTGTTGAAACGTTTCATCTTTGCAGCTGTGGCTGAGTGGTTAGAGCAGTCGTCCTCCAATGCAAGAGTTGGGGGTTCAAATCCACCAGCAGTCACATGCCGAAGTGTCCCTGGGCAAGACACTGAACCCCTCGTTGCCTCTGATGTGTGTCCCATCAGTGTATGAATGTGATAAAGCTCTGATTAGTCTCTTTAGAATGAGTCGTTCAATTAGCTTTGTAGAGATCTAGTATAGAGCTGTATGAATGGGTAAACGAGGCACAGATTGTTGTAAAGAGCTTCGAGTGTCTTGATCAGGTAGAAAGGCGCTGTAGAACAGTCCATTTACCATCTTTTATCCAAAGGACTTCCTCAGTCTGAGGAGCTGCAACAAACTCAGTCTCTTAAATAGCACCTTCTCAGGGTGGATCAACCAGTTTGCTGCTGACAACCAGAACCAGCTGATCACATGCTTGGGTTCCTTCTTTTCACCTGATGGCTGACTGGAGTCCTGTTTGGGTTTCTTCTCTGCTTTCAGGAAGGTCCAGTTAGGGTCCACATTGCTCTAGAGCCTGTTTTGTGTAGGGTTTATCCTTCTGCCTGGTTCCTGAGTTAGTGGGGACGCTGTCTGCTCTGTGGTACAGAGTCCTGATGACTCAGAGTCAAGTTCAACAATCTTTATTATCCCTAATTTGTTTCACAGTCACCACAGCGATCAAACTCACTTGTTTTACGCCGGATACCCTTCCTGACACAACCTGGGCTTGAACCCACAACCTCAGGGTTACAAGACCACGGCACTGACCACTACGCTGCTACAGTCTTTATAAAGCAGACCTGTTTATTTGAGCAGCTACGGCTTGTACCTTGTGAAAACAACTCACCGGCTCCAGTTTTATGCTGAGCAGGTCCAGGTGGGATCCCTCCCAGGGATAAGGTCAGCACACCGAGACCTCCGAAGTCCTGCGTGGCGTGTTGGACGATCCTGGGCTGGCTGTCGTCCACTCGGAGCAAAGTGGACGACCCGTTTCTGACCAGCTGGAGCGTGTGCCACTGTCCGTCAGACAGCGTGGCGTCTCCCAGCGTCCTCTCCACCTTTCCTCTAACGCCAGCATCCGACACGTAGTGGAGGACGCCGTTCCTCAGCTGGGTGAGAAAACCAGAAGGAGGCGTTTGGTTAAGTACTCAACTGTTGGCTGAATTTAAATACAACGGTGAACCTGTGGCGTGGAGTTTGTTTCCAAAACCTTTGGATAAAATAAAACACAAATAATAATAATGTAATAATATTTTATGATGTGATGCTGTTAACATGATAGCTGAGCGTGAAGTTGACGTGTAGCTTCAACATTTATTGAAAAAACATCAAGTCATTGCTTTTACCATGAAAGTTGTGCAATCATGTAAGCACTTATTTTTCTGTTAGCAAAATATCTCAAGAACCAGTGAATGAGTTGTAACAAAGCTCTCAAAACAATCACTAAAATGACTTAACCTGGGTAGAGGTCTTAGGGTTGTACATGATGGTGGAGGGGTCAAAGGTCAGTTTGACCAACAATGACGGTGTCCATGGTGTAGATGGACGAAGAGATCAGGTGAAGATCTCAGCTGTTGAGGACTACCAGCTGAGACAAAACATTTTATGATCGGAGTCGTGGACTTCACCAGAACCAGATCCACTCAAGATTTCTTGGGTGGAAGTGGTCGTAATAAAAACATGATCTGATGTGGAGACGTGCTCTGAGGACTTTTTCTGTCCTAAATGTTTGTGAAGTTACACTGTGGACGACTTACTGACGACTGTCGCATGGATGGACAGATGGAGACAATCTGGGGGACAACTAAGTTGATGTTTTGATGTTACTGGGAGGTCAAGCTGGACAATCTTGAAACCAACAGAGATCACCTTTGACCCATGAGATGTCCAGCTGTGCCGTTTTACATTTGAGTTAAAGGGTTATCAAGAAATTTTCCACAGAAAGACAAACGGACCATAAGGACAATATGTCCCGTCCTGATCTGTTTAAAAACGACATCCCGTCCATCACATGTCTGAACGCTCCTCTTTTTGAGTTGGCCAACGTGATTTTGTTTCAAAACCATAAAGAAGCACAATATTGAGTTTAGTTAAACAAGAGATGTCAATATTTAATCTTTGGACATGTCCAGAGGAGGGACAGTGGGTATATTGGTAGAAGGACGTTAGAAATGCAGCTGCCAGGAAAAAGACAAAGAGGAGACATATGGAAGCAGTTGGAGAGGACATGGAGGTGGATGGAGTGAGGACAGAGGACGACCGGCTGTGGAGACCCCTGAAGAAGGAAACGTGGGAACAAGACGACGATACCATCGTCAATGTAAAGAGAAACGAAGGTCTCACAGTTGTCTTGGTCCTGAACAGGCTACAGTAGCTGGATGGTCGGAGCTTGTGACTCTGAGGGTTTGTCAGGAAAGACATCCAGCCCAATCTTTCTCCTTTTACTGCAGTTCACCAGTTTGATCAACGGTCTTCCTGCAGGATTTAAATCAGAGTTCTACTTGGCTTCATAATCTTGAACTTCTCCTGTTTATATAATTGGTACAATTTGTTTACTTTCTAACGATGAGCCAACCTACAAGTAAAGAACGGTTGACGTCGAACCAAAACCAGGAGTTTGTGTTCTCGGCTCTGGCAGAGGGCCAAACGTCTCAAACTGCGTCTCACCTTTTGCCCAGCAGGTTACGTAAGTGGTCAAATCTGTTTGTCGGCAGGAAAAACTGCAAAGATGAAACTTGCTTGAATAAAAATAGGATTAGTTTTTGGTGCCGCAGCAGATGTTTGAGTTGAAGTGTAGTCTCGCTCGTCTAAGACTCGGGGTCCAGCATCATCACCAGCTCTGAGCTCCAATCAGTTCCTCATTTCAAGCTTCGTAAACAAAGACCAAAACTTCAGCTTTTCAGTTTAAAGCAATAAATTATATCGTCGTTAATCATGGCCGACAAGAGGACGTGTTCTCAGATTCTCCACCAAACTACAACCGCACTGCTTTCAGGGGTCAAAGGTCAGAGACAAAAATGCAGCTTGAAGCTCATAAATCTTCCTCCCGTCGGGACAAACTGAACTTCATCATCCTCCCTCCACTTCTGTGTTTCGCCGAACAACTAATTTGGACAAAAACAATCTTTTGGATCTTTTCAGTGAGGAAAAGAATAAATCTGAGTTTGGCGTGAGCCACGGCTCTGTGGCTGTTGCAGTGTATGGTAATCTCGTGTTCTCCCCACTTCGATGGAAAAGTAATCTTGTTCTCCTCCTTTACAAAGAACCTTAAAGTCAGCAGTGATAAGTAGCTTCCGGAGGAATTGATTTAAAATGGGAAAGTACCTCGAGCCAAAAAATGTCGACCTGTAAATCTGGAGAATCGATCACAAGTTTTATCTATTAAACATCTCGTTGTTTTATAAAGTTCTCCTAACATACATATATACACATTGTGTGTATTCCCACACTAATCTTTTTTTTCTGTCACGGGTCTTATGATACGTCTATGAACTGTTAAGGAAACGGAGATGGTGATTTGATGAGCACCAGAAGCTGCTCAGAAACTGAAAACCAAATCGAGGGAGAGAAACGCTTCATTCTGCAGCGGGAAGTGGAGGTCAGCGTCGAGAACGGAGGCCGTCTGAAAGGAAACGTAAAAAAGACGGTGAGCGAAGGCCTCCCCGGGCAGCGCTCCAGGAACAGTGGGGGGGTGGGTGCTGAGCGGGAATAAAAAGAAAGGTGACGGAGAAAAACCTGTGGGGTTCTGTTTTTACGTTTTACAGTTTATACAAGAAATGTACGAGTGGTGATGAGTCTATAATTATAGAGGGATAAATAATATACGTTGACATGTTCCAAGAAAGATTAAGTGAAGGTACAGTATTTCTGACTGAAGTACTCGTACGAGTAATTAAAAACCTCTAGATGCTTCTGTCTTGTGATGCACCACAGGGATCCATTCTTGAGCTTCTCCTTTTCTCTCTGTATGCTGCCATCAGAATTAGTTACAGCCATGCATCATTTTTCTTTTTCCTCTTTTCCAAACATCCTGGCTAGACTCTCCTTACACAGGTTTTCAGAGAACATAACGTCTCCACTGATCTATCTGATGATGAGAAAAGGTGAAGGGCTCACTTTATTATTCGACCACAACACTAACATTGCGTAAAGTCTGTATTTAATTTAGTCTGATCTTGTCTCAGAACTTGAATAGAAATCTGTCTTCTTCTAGGTTCTTCTCTCTCTCTCATGGTGTACCACAGGGCTACGCTCTCGGCCCTCGCCTTTTCTTCCTTTATATGCCAAGTTATAGCCAAGCATAATTTATTTTCATAGTTATGCAGACAACTTACAGATTTATACTTTCAAACTTATTTTCTTGATTATATTCCTGATATTAAACAGTGACTTAAACAAAACTTCTTGTTTTTAAATAAACAAAAGTCCCAAGTGCATCTGTTTCTGGTGATGCTGGTTCATGTAACTTTGGTGAACTGACGTCCATGTTTAAAACCACAGTTAAAAATTTAGAGTGAATTTTGATAAGAACCTGAAATTTGATTAAAAACGTTTTTAAAAAAATAGCCTCTGTTGTCAGACCAGCTTCTTTAAGTTTTGTCTTCTAGCCGAGTTCAAGACTTTTGTAAATCCACCTGACCTGAAAAAGGACATTCAGGCTTTCATCAGCTCCAAGTTTGATTACTGCAACACTGAATGTTGGAACTTCATAAACCTTCCCCAGCGTCTTCAACTTGTCTAAAATGCTGCAAAGTTTACTGATTGATTTTTAACACCTGGTTGTCCAGGATTTTTAACGTTTTGTACGTTAAAACACAAAAACGTACAACAAAACTGTAGAGGAAGGTGTGGTGGTGACATTTCTGTATAAAATGTACTTTCACATGAACAAACGTTCTTTTTTTGATCAAATATCTCTTGAACCTGCCAGTTTTTATCTGCTGAAGATAAGTGTAATGATGGCGTATTGTTCCAGTTCCTCCAATCAATGCCCAGATTACAATCTGAATCTGGAAAGCTTTTATTGTGAAAGTTATTCTGGTAATAAAGCATATGAGGACAGTGTTAAACCTGATATTTATACCTCTTATATTAATGGTCCAATATGCACACTGATGTTCTGTTATGATGAACGCAGCGCCGCACATCTGGAGGAACGCAGTTTTCTTCAAAGCACAGATGACTATCAGCACATCCGCTATGTTTTACTTTTTAAGATCTCGGCATGTAGAGTTCTACTGTAAAATTTCTAATCTCTGATCTTCAAGGTTTTGTTTTGAGGTTCTGGATTTGACCCACTTCCTGTGCTTGCATCTCTTTGATTACTCTGAAGTTTAAATACAAGGCTGTCGGGATTTTAACGCCGTCTTGTTTTTTGGTGCAGTTGGACACAGAAGTTGTGTGTAAATGTAATGATGTCAGGATTAAAGTAATTCTGTTAGATATGGGGCCGCAGCATCGTTCTGCAGGCTAATATGACATTAGCATGAGACATGAAGTCATTGTAATATGACGGAACTAAAAGCACGTGTTCAGGAGCCCGGCTCCACATGAGCTCATCTTTGAGGCAGGTGTGATGTCTGCGCTCGTCTCACCTTCACTGTGGTGTAGTTGCTGCTCTCCTGAACGTGCAGCAGCGTGCCACTCTTTCCTCGCGTCCTGAACTTGACCTCCAAACTGCCAGGTCCGACAACGTCGGGCATCGCGCCCTGCAGGGACCGCCTCAGCAGGGCGTCTCGTTTGGGACCCTCCTTCAGGGCGTAGTCCAGGCGGCCGGTACCGTCCAGAGACAGAGCCGTGTCCGCCGTCGCATCTGAGAAGATAAAACGCTGAGTTTCTGAAGGCTCACTTTGCTTCACGTGGTTCAAACGATCCCCCTCCTTAGTCTTAATGTTTGTCCTGGTTTTAAGTGAGACTCAGAGAATCCCCCCTAACTGCCCATGTGCCTTCGAGCAGAACACCGAGGCTTTCAGAGGAGGAGGAATTCAGAGAACGGTTTCTAAATGCATCAAATGTAAATACACCCACATGACTTAATGTAACAGACGTACGAGTTTAATATCTGTATAAATATGAGGTTTAAAGCTTCATATGAGCCGAAGCTCCAAAGCAGCGAGCAGATTGTTGTTTCGGCCACATTTTTCTGGACTGAGGGGAAAAGAAGCTACAACCTGGATTTACCAACGAGTACAGACTACAACTAAAAACTCTGTTCGGTTATTTTTATCTTCCACTACCAGGAGGTTCAATAAGTGTTTGTATGTTAGCAAAATATCTCATGAACCGCTGAACACATTTTATTGAAACTCAAAGTAACGACGTTCGTCTACAACTGGTAACATTTTAGAGTCAATCCAATTCAAGATGGCCGCCACAGCTAATCAAGTAGCAAAAACAAAAATGGTTTTATCTTTCCTGTTTTACTAATCCTGCAGATTCAGGATTCACATTTAGTGTTTTAATAAATTTATTTCAGCCTAAACATTTTTACATCTTTTCACAGAGCAAAACCTTCGGCGCATTCTGGAAATGTTTGCTGCGACTGTTGGTTTTGAATTGTTTTTAGATTTTACTTCCTCGTTATAAACGATAAGAAATGTCTTCATCTTAAAAATCTGTTTTAACATTCCTGTTCTAGATTTGTCTTCTTTTGCTTTTAGCTAGCCTTTTGTTACGTTAGCTTTTAGCTGATCATTTAGCTGCTTTTAGCTGGCATTATGTAGCTGCTAGCTTTTACTTTAGCAAAAAACTAGTTCAAAGGTAAAAGTAGGAAAATTCACAAAATGTTAAAATTTGTTGAATTTTGCTACTTTTACCTTTGAACTAGTTTTTTTCTTCCGTCTGTGAGCTAGAGTTTTTGCTTCTATTTGATTTTAGCTACTGTTTAGCTACTTTTAGCTTCTAGATCAAATTTCATCAAAACGTTCACACTAACATTTGTTTGGCCTTTACCTAGCATTTTATTTTTGTCTCTTTAGCTCCAAATGCTCAGTTTTAGCTTCTTCGGCAGATTTCAGCTCATCCTGCAGATCCCACATCGCATCAAACCGAAGGTTCAACAAAACTTTTTACTTTTTTCCTGCTCACTTCAGTCAAAACATAAAAATGTAAAACTGACTTCCCTCCGTGGCTGAAATGATTTTCTGCAGCTGAAAGTTTTCTGCATCGTGTTTTAGCTCCGCTGAGGTTTGCTCCGGCTTCGTGGTGAATCTTCATGAACATTTTTTACTCATCAGGAGAAATGAAGCCGACTCTTACATTTCTCACAGAATCTGCCGGTGAAGCCGTCCGTGCACCGACACTGCTGCCAGGACCAGCGGTCCAAACAGGTGCCCCCGTGTCTGCAGGGGCTGGCGCTGCAGGCTCCTTCCAGTCTCGGACATCTGAAAACACAAACCGACAGTCGCTCAGGGTGCAACAAAACGAGTGGAGGCAGATGAGCTTTGATTTGTCTCCCAGAGACAGAACCTCGTTCAGAACCGGGACAATTAGCATTTTAAAGGACCTGTCTCAGCCCCAACATTCACCAGTGACACGTAAAGAAAGAACTTCCTGGACTTCTACAGCAGCTCTCCCTTCAGGAGTCTGTCTGCAGGTAGAAGCTTCCCTAGTGTGGACAGACGTCTCACAGCGGGAGCCGTGGACGTTGGAGACGATGGACGGATGAGGACAGAGAGGAGGTGCCGACCTGTCGAGGATGCCGCGGGACGCCAGCGCCTGACTGGGCTCCAGCGGGCGGCCGTTGACGGCGAGCTCCATGATGCAGCCGACGAAGTCGTGGGTGGCGACCTGACCGCGGCGATGAAGGACGGGTTCTATTGACTGGACGCCTCCCACCGAGAGCCGGTTGGGCTGCACGTCCAGGATCCTGTGGACACAGACGGAGTCAGAGGACGACGCTGCTGGTCAGAGGACACGCCTCCAAAAGGCTCCTCTCATATGAGTGCACACGAACACAGACACGGAGCGGCTGCTGAGCGTGTGCGGCTCTCTTACCAGTCGGTGTGGACCGCCACGTTGCTCACGGCGCAGTAGCCCGGCTCCTGGTCCTGGCCACACAGGTCCACCGTCAGCGACGCCGCCTGCATGACAAGAACACGTGTTACACGTGACTCTGAGGATATCAGCCCCTTCCTCTTTAAAACCAGAGTCAAGCCACTGCGGCTTTAAAAGATCTAAACCAGAAACTCGTCAAAGGTTGGATGCCTCTGATCAGGTTTTCTCCTTTGATCTTAGCTGTCACAAGTACAAGATGACGGTTTTGAAACAGTTTTATTTCGCAAAGAGCTTGCATAATCGTTGACCTTGATTTATGACCTTGAGGTCAGTTTTGATTTACTTCATTTTGTATTTTGCTTTGTGTGTTACCTGTTGTTCTGTCTGTACAGCACTTTGGTTGGCCTTGTCGCTGTTTTAAGTGCTCTATAAATAAAATGGTACAACTGATTTTCGTATCTGATCTTGTGTTATGGAATAATTTAACATTTTTTGGACCAGATGGAACGAGTTTTCAGGATAGATCCGGCCAGAGGATCACCAGCTGACGATCTGACCGAAACAATAGAAATGTTCTTAAATTTCTCGTCATTTCTGAAACTAAAAATCAAAATAAATACTATTTTTCTGTCCCCAGAGTTCATAAACACGCCGGATAAGATGAATTGGTGACTAAATTGTCCGTAGAAGGGACTCTGAGCGTGCATGGTGTCTCTGATGGACGGATGGTATGATCGGGAGTAATCCACCTCTCACCCGGTGTCAGTTGCAGGATTTATCGTCTGGATCTAACGGACAGATGTGGGTCGTGGCCACGTGTTAACTGATTGGAGGAAAATGGACCTCGGTGCCCAAAAGCAGTTCTTGTTTTCACAACCTGATAAAAATACTCGGCCACAGAGAACGACTTTCAGCACGACTCACTAAACACACAGTTAATGGACGTTGGACTCGTATACAGAACCTCGAGGTGTGGTCGCGGAGAGGTGGGGGTCTGGTTTGGGTCCATTGGCCCTTTAAGACATGAACTTCAGCGAGGATTGAGGCGGTCCACAGCCGAATGTGAAAGCGTCTGAGTCTCAGGATCTTGTTCATGAGCCACGGAGTGAGAAATGAACCGATGCACCGGCCCCGTCCTCATTAATGAGAGAATCTGTTCGTTTTCAGTGGCAAACGATCGTCACTGAGAGGTTTAAATAGTGAATGTTTGTAGTTTCTGAGACGAGTGTTTTTCTGGACTAAAAAAATAACATTCATGTTTTTGGTGCAAGATATTCAAGTGGGTACGATCTACACCGTGGAAGGCGCGTGGTGACGGATCCTGGCGAGTGGGAGCAGTTTTATCCACGAACATGTGCAATGGTGCAGTCAGGGGGTGGCCACTGGTGGCCTTGCCCACCACAGATTATTCTTTGCCCACCCCGATCATTTTAAGTAATGTAAAATCTAGAAAAGCACGGTATACCCAAATGATTGGGGTGGCCGGTTTACAAATACAGTAGTTGGTTCCCAACCGTGGTCCTTGAGGAACACCATCCTGCACGTTTTAGTTGTTTCCCTGCTTTGACACACCTGCTTTGAATGGGTGATTAACAGGCTTCTGCAGAACTCAAAGTAGTACTTAAATCACTGAATCAGGTGTGTTGGAGCAGGGAAACAACTGAAACATGCAGGATGGCGTTCCTCAAGGACCACGGTTGGGAATCATATACAGCAGCAGTGGCTCTGAACACCGAGCCACTGCCGCCCCGGTCCTCCCTTCGTGCCGCTGACGTATTTTCATATTCCAGAGCCAGTTTGGATCCTGGTGTCGTGAATCACAGCGAGCAGTAAAATATAATTTCAACCAGACAGTGAGCAGCAGTTTAATCACCGTCTCATGGTGAAAACTAAAGGATTTAAATACAGAGGCTGATTTTTACCACCAGCAGCCCAAGATCAGAGGGTGATGTTTTTGTACCAGTTTCTGTGCCTTCATCTGTCGCGGCGTTAGCAAAATATCTCATTCGTTAATTCATTCAACCTTTATTTAAAAACCTTGAACCTTGGAGTTGGGGGATGAAGTGTAGGTGGTGATCTTGAGCAGATCAAAAGTTTTGGCAGAAAGGTTTTAGACGGAGGGAGACTAAACCGTAATGCATCCACCTTAGGACGGTCGTCTAAAAGTTTCTCGTGGTGTTTTCAGTGTTTGACCATCTCAGCTTGAGGTGGTTTTATTCTAGAACTCTGGCATTAAGGGTGTCGGACGATTATCTTTTTAAAAAAACCAGGACTGATTCTCACCACCCCGGCTCTCCTGGCGATCACCGTGTGGAACTGCCCGTCGGAAACTTTGACGGTGGTCATGAGTTTGTACGTTCCGCTCCCCAGGTTGAAGGAGAAGCGCAGCCGTCCCTCGACGACCTCCAGAGCCAGGAACTCGGCCTTGTCCCCGGTCTGGTTGTCGTGGTTGTACATGAGCAGCGCGTTGCTCATCAGGGTGGCGAACTTGATGTAGATGTAGTTGTTGTTGGGATCCAGAGAGGGGAACTCCATGTAGGAGAGCTCCTCGAACCCGTAGCTGTTGAGTTCGCAGTGTTTGCCGAACACCCCTGAGGACGGAGCAAAGAGGAGGAACCAGACAGAACAGGGATGGGTCAGTGTTGGTAAAATAAAAATATACCTACAGGTGAAACACAAGAAGATTTTCATTATTACAGGACGACATGTGATTTCTAACCCTCTCGTCTGTCTTGACGCTGAGGTCAAAGGCAGCAGGAGGGTTAAAACATCTGACCTTCATAAAGTTAAACACCTGATTTTAAATTTTTTTTTTTTATTCAAACTGTTAAAGTCGAGCTAATTTCACCGCGTTCAAGGATTTTCCTTCTATAAGAAAAAGTCTTGCAGCACAAACAAGTGTTTTTAATTGGACCTTTAACATTAAATCAGACGTCAAACTCGAGGCCCGCGGGCCAACAACGGCTTCATTACAACTTCTTTGGGACCAAAAAGTAATTTTTTAGATTTTACAGGATCAGCCCACTAATTTCTGACGGTTTGTCTTTGTTGCTTCTTCTTTTGCTGCAAAAATTGAGCAGTTAGTTCAGATTTCTCATGAAAATGAAACAGATCTGAAACCAAAATAAGTTTGAATTTTTCCAGTTTAGTTTTTTTTTTTTTGGACCTGGAAAAATCACTAAAAACATCCACAGTGGGTCAAACTCTTGCTTCTGTGAGAAACTGACAGATGTGATTAATGTTTTTAACTGATTTAATAGAAAAAATATTGCATAAAAAATGGACTATTGATGAAGTGCATGGCATACAAAAATAAAAAATGATTGCACGGTACAATAAATATTTGCTTTAGAATAATCTGACAGTACAACTTTATATATTTTATTTAAAAAAACAAACGGAACTGACTGAGATTTGCTCGTGGCAGGTCCAACTTTTTATTTTTGGCTCTCGATATAAATAAAGTTGAACAACCCAATGGAATAAAAATTTATTTTTTTCAATACAACTAATTGTCGCCATGAAAAGTCCTGTAATTTTCTGTTAGCTAAACTTCTCATGAATAAGTGAACGGATTCTCTTGAAAAGTAAAAACGATGTAATCCAACACAAATCTGCGATAACTGTCATTTCTACAGATGGAGCTAAAATCTGGAGTAGTAGCTGAGAGTCGGCACCAACACATAACTCGAGCACAAGCAGCTCACACAAGATCTTTGCTCCAAACGTTCGCATAGGAGGAGGCGTATGTATTCCTTCCTTCCTTAACCACAACTAATCTAAACCAGTGGTGCCCAACACTGGTCCGTGAGGAACACCGTCCTGCATGTTTCAGTTGATTTCCTGCTTTTACACACCTGGTTTGAATGAATGGGTGATTAACAGCTTCTGTAATTAAATCACTGAATCAGGTGTTGGAACATGGAAACAACTAAACGTGCAGGATGGTGTTCCTCAGGGACCAAGGTTGGGAACCATTGGTCTAAACCGCTGACCCAATTTAAACCTTTTAAAATGGCATCAGTGATTAAAAAAAACAAACATTTTAGTTTTGTGGAAAATTGTTGCTTTTTAAGCGTTTTCTACAATATACTTGTCGTCAGATGAAGTGGGACGGTCCTTGGCGTTTCCTGTAATTACTCACCAAACGGACAGTGGCAGAAATATCCATCCAGCCGGTTCTGACAGGACCCGCCGTTAAAACAGGGGTTACACTCACAGTGATTGATGATGGAGTCACACGTTCTTCCTGAGTTCACAGAACAACAAATCAAACGGATGGGGTGAACAAATGGATGGAGCGAACACGGTGAAGCGTTCAATTCATGCAGGCGTTTGAACCCTCCTGCTGCCCTCAGGTCCAAGTGACCCACCTTCACCTTGACCTGAGAGCAGCAGGAGGGTTCAAACTTTACAGCTGAGCAATGCACTGAAAAAAAAACAGCCTTAATGTGGGGGCGTGGCTACATGTGGGCGTGGTCTAAATAGACACGCTCACATTTTTCTTTATTTTGGCACTTCATTAAATTTTTTTTACATGAAAAAGGTTCTTCTCAACCAATTAAATATGTTATTTCAATAATTTAACAACTACTTTTCAGTTTAAAACCTTTTACCGTCGATGAACTGACTTTATTTTACAAAATTTGTTACAAAAGTTTGGTTCAGAACCTACAAAAAATACATTTTATCAGCTGCGTCGAGTCTTTTAAGATTTTGTATCGATGGTATAAAACAAAACAAACAAACAAAAAAACAGCTGATAGTTCAGAGTTCACAGCCTCGTTTTTTTTTGCAGAATGTTAATTAGGACCTAATAAGACCTCCGTGTCCAACTGTCCCCCTCTTACAATGCTGTTATTGCTAGTATCGCTCAGCCCTCTGTGAATAGCAAGTGGCCATTAGGGCACAAACAACCGGTCGTTGGGCTGATGGTTCTCCTTTTACATGTGAACAGCTGGTTCTGGATGTCACCAACAAACTGGTTGATCCATCATGTGAAGGTGCTATTTATAAGACTGAGTTTGTTGCGGCTCCTTGGACTGATGAAGTCCTCTGGATGAAAGACAAAACATTTCAGCAAAAAGAAAACGTCCAGAGGACCTGACTTAACTTTGCTGGATTTGTTAAACGTACATTTCACTGAACTTCTACATTAAATGCATTTACTTCTGTATTTACTCTACTTTTACCACTGGAACAGCTAAACATTTAAAGATTTTTTTGACATGTAATTTTTGTTTTTAATGGGAGCTCTATGAACACAAGCCCACCAATCTCATTTTTAAAACGTCTGATTTGTGACACTCAAGTTTTGTTCTTTGGTTTTCCTGAGGACACGAAGGATTTTTGAAACAACCTAATAAACTGATAAAATACCGAAATACCAAAAATCATCTGATTTGATGCATCAGCTCACGTTTTTCTAATCCCAGTCAAATCTGACGTCCCTGTATAAGGACCAGTAACAAACCCAACCACTTGACTGGATTAAAGGTGTTAATAGTTAAATAATTTACAAAATGACAAAAAAAAAAGGTCCAAACTAAGAATAAAGCAGCATATTTAACGAAAAACAGTTTTTGCTTCAAGTTTCAGGATAATATTTAAAAAAACAAAAAACTGAATTATTGCCAATTTTTGTTACTTTTCACTTCGTTTACCAAACGAAATTTTAGTTTGAATCAAACTGTGATCTTGGCGGCAACACTCCAGATATTTTTAAGCTCTTTCAAAATAAAAAGTGAAATTTTTATTTTTACGGCTTTGAGTTTCTTCTTTCCAGATCTTTTGCGAGTCAGTTGTAGAAAACAAGGTTTATTTAATTTATTTCACAGGTTGGGGTAAATTTAGTGCCCCCCCCCCCCATGTCAAAGTGTATCTCTTGCTGCTTCAAATCATCTTAGAGTGACGGTTAAACTCTAAACAGGAAGCTGCTGCAGTTTAAATATCTGAACTAAACGTGACGTGTCCAAGATGACATCATTTCATCCACATTAACATCTTGAAACCTTCAGGAAAAAACTAAATCAATAAATGATCTCATTTAACTGGAAGATCCTCCTTCCAAAAAGACAACCAGGCCTTCAAACTTAATCCAACATCAAACTGTTCTTTTTTTTTTCAGTGCAGAAACAGAAACAGCTGAAATGAAGATGGATGGGCGCCACATAAACGAGAAAAGCCTGAACATCTTGATGAGGAGGCATGACAAACGTAAAGGGTCGATGGCAGAACAGAAACAAACCCGACGATGAACTTCAGAAGTCAACGTAACGCTGCAAATCCTGAGACAAGTTGCTTAATGGAGATGGATTTAGCTGCCAGAGAACCGCCGTGGAAAACAGGAAGCTGCGAGTTCAAGGCGAGTTCATGGAAACTACTGTAAGTCCAAAAGGTGCAGTTCTGCACGGGAGTAATTCATCTTGATAAAAACTAGTTTGTGGCCATTTTTTATCCTCGTAATAAAAAAGGACAGTAATGACTCGACTTTAGGCTAATTGCCCTCTACAGCATGCTTTCAAAATGTCTTTCAGATGCCGAAGCCAGACCTCGAATGTTACGCAGGGTCCAAATGTTTGTTCTAAGCATTTCCACTTAAAGTCCACTCCTCTGTTATCAGAGCCAATGATGTTGTGCATTCATAACATTTCCAAATGAAGCGGCCTGACTGGAGCTTTTATCAAGCTGCTCATTTGTCAAATAAAATGCAACGGAGCCAAATGAGAAATTTCTCTTGGATCAGAAACGTGCCTGTGTGTGGCCGAAGGGCGAGAAGCAACTTCTGATCATCTTTTTAAAAATGAAAACAAACGCAGAAGGTTGCTGTGCATCCCGGCTGATACACCCCCCACCACCACCCCCCGCCCAGTAACCTGCAGTCCAAACTGTTTTTGGCAGCCAGGCCCAACACTGTGGTCATCACAACTCCTGGAAATATCCAGGAGGAAATATTTTCATTGGCTCTACGGTTGTGTGTGACTGCGCTATCATCTGTGTGAGCACCCTGACATCATTTTTCCAGGCCAGACATAAAACGTGACTCATGCGTGTGCAGTACCTGTAAATCCTGATGTGCAGAGACAGTTGAAGCCCCCGGGGAAGTTCTGGCACAGCGCCCCGTTCTTACAGGGATTGGAAAGGCATTCGTTGATATCCCTCTCGCAGGCCATCCCGGTGAAACCCTCGGGACAGGTGCAGGAGAACCCCCCCACCAGATTGTGGCAGGTGCCACCATTGTGGCAAGGCGACGGCTGGCACTCGTCAATGTCTGTCTCGCACAGAGCTCCGGCGTACCCTGGTCTGCAGCTGCAGGCGTACGGCTGCAGGGGGTGGTTGGAAACGAGGATCACAGGGACACTTTCTACTGTCTTCATGTCAGGCCCGACACTGAGACGCCGCTTGCAGCTGCCTCCATTCTGGCATGGGTTACGCATGCAGGGATCATGGTCCACCGTGTCTATTTGCACCCCGCTCTGCCTGTATAAAATGTCTTTGATACTCTGGAAGAATGTGGCCACGCCGCTGGGGCTCACGTACTGCCCATGGCCCCGCTTCACAGCTGCCATCAGGAAAGTCTGATTGTTGAGCTCAAACACTCCATAAAGCAGCACCCCTGTCCCGAGTCCTGCTAGCTGAGAGTTGGCAATGCGTAGGAAGCTGAGGTAGTGGTTGGTGAGGAAGCTTTTGACCCCTTCAGAGTGCAGCCGGATGAGAATGCTGTTATCCACAGTGGCATTGTTGAAGCCATTAAAAACAACTCTGGCTGTGTTACTGACTGATGCGTGGATGCCGTCGTTGCTGCGTATGGTTAGCTCAAAGGTTCCATCGGTTGAGCGAGCTTTAGAGTTGAGGTTGCAGGTTCCTGCGGGGATAGTAAACAAACCGGATGACGGCGGGATCAGGGAGCAGTGGAACCTGTCGTGAATGTCAGGGTCTTGTGGTTTGACATCTCCCAGAGAACCTCCAGGAAATGTGTTTCCAAAGTAATGGACAAAGACTTCCAAAGACCGTGGCTCTGAAGGGTTGTCATTTTGATCATTTACTTTGACACGAACTGTTCCTGTGGAGGACATCTGAGGCACACCGGAGTCCTTAATCACAACGTAGAGGTAGAAATCACTAATCTGCTCTCTGTCTATCTCCCGGCTGGTGGTTAACGCCCCAGCTGAACTGAGGCTGAAGTAGCTGTTGGCAGAGCCAGAACTCAGGAGGCTATATAAGAAAGGGCCTTGGTTGGGGGGTAAATCAGGGTCAGAGGCTGTCAGTGTTGAAACTGCGGAGCCAGCTCTCTGGTTCTCCATGATCTCGGCGTAGGTGGTCGTCAGTGTTGGACCATTATCGTTGATATCTTCCAGATTTACAATGACAGTGGTGCTTCCAGTGGCAGGAGGTGTGCCAGTGTCCACAGCAAGAACAGTCAGATTGTAGACGGGAGTGGTTTCTCTGTCCAGCTCGGCAGCCACAGACAGCTGGCCAGTTTTTGCGTTTATTGTAAAAACATTTGTATCAAATTCAGGAGCAATGGAGTAAGAGAACCTGCTCCAGCTGGGGACAGAATCTGAGTCCTCAGCACTTACAAAAGTGACAAGACCACCAGGTGATAGACCTTCACTGACCTGCACATCGTACAGGTCCCGGGTAAAAACAGGTGGATCATTGGCATCAAGAATGGTGATATTAACAAACACCTCATCAATATCCGCCCCACGGATGCTTCCTGCGTTCTTGGCCAAAACTTTCAGAGAAATCTTTTCTTCTTTCTCACGATCTAGAGTACCTGTAACATAAATCTGACCGGTTTTCTTGTTGATGCCAAAGCCTTTCTTTCTGCTCTTTCCAAAAATGAGGTAATAAACCACTCCATCCTCTCCTTGGTCTCGATCGCTGGCAAATACTTCTCCAATAACTGTGCCTTTTGGAGCGGCTTCAGATATTTCAAAATAGTACTGTTTGGAGACAAAGCGGGGTACGTATTCATTGGCTCCCTTCAGCTGAATGTTGACATTGGCGAAGCTGCAACGCTCTTCGTCCGGGACATTGAAGGCCTTCACTGTTAAATGGTAGACCTGCTTAGCTTCATAATCCAAGAAACCCTGGGTGGTGATGATGCCAGTGTTTGGGTCAATAACAAAAAGGTCGCTGTCCGAGGACTGAATAACATAAGCCATGACTGCGTTTGCTCCTGCATCGCGGTCCGTGGTGTTCATTTTGAGCACGGTGGTGCCACTGGGAACGTTCTCCTGCACAACGGGGAAGTACTCCTCAGGATCAAAAACAGGAGAATTATCATTGACATCAGTCACATGTATTGTGACGGAGACAAAACTTGTTTTTACAATCCAGCCGCCATCTGTGGCAGAAACCCTAAGCTCATGTTGTTGCTTCTCTTCAAAGTCTAGCAGATGTGCTAAGGATAAGACACCAGTTTTACTGTTCAGTGCAAACAAACCTTTGTCATTGCCTGAAGTGATATTGTAAGTGATAAGGCCATTCATTTCTTTGTCTTTGTCTCTGGCAGACAGAGTTCTTATTGCCGTTCCAACAGCGAGGCTTTCGGGTACAGTAGCTGAGATTTGGCTTTGTGAGAACTCGGGTGTGTGGTGGTTTTCCTCAGTGATGGCAATCTTCACCGTGGTTTGTGCCGACAAAGGAGGATTTCCTCTGTCGCTCGCAGTGATGTCAATGAGGAACATTTTATTTATATCAGGGATGAGGGAAGAGGCAACGGTAATCCATCCACTTGCTTTGTCTAGCTTGAATTTATCAGAACTGTTCCCGCCTGTTATTTGGTACTCAACCTCTGAATTAAGGCCAAAGTCTTGTTTGTCTTGAGCTACAACTCTTATCAGTCTGGTGCCTACTTTGACACTTTTAGTGACTGGAGTGAAATAGCTAGACGAATCAAACTCAGGAGGATTATCATTGCTGTCTACGATGTTTACAATAACTGTCGTCTCACTCATTAAAGGCTTAACTGCTCGGTCTGAGGCTGTGACGATGAAGCTGTGGCGGTTTATATTCAAACTGCCAGCCCCCGTGGAGTTCTGATATTTCAGCAGCTGCTTCACAAACACCTCTCCTGAGCTGGCGTTGATTCTGAAATATTCAGACTGGGATCGAACGAAGTAAAAAATTTTGCCATTGACTCCCTCATCAGGATCAAATGCAGACACTTGTGTGACCAGAGAGCCCACTTCTGTGAGCTCCGGGTAGTCCAAATAGTAAGATGGGCGACTAAATCTGGGAGCGTTGTCATTAATATCCGTTACAAATATGGTGACGTCTGTGCTCACAGTCCAGCCAGAGTCGTGGGCGGTCACCTTCACAATGTAATGATCAGTGTCTTCTCTATTGAGCGGCCTGCTAATTGTAATATCTCCTGTGTTTGCATTAATACTGAATGGAAGGCTTGTATCTGTAATCGAATACCGACTAATGGAGTTTGAACCAGCATCCTCATCGGTGGTGGTGACTCTGGTGACGGTGTAACCAACAGGAGCGTTTTCAGCCACTGTAGCGCTAAATATCTTAGAAAACCTGGGAGCATTGTCGTTGAGATCTAAAACGTTGATGAGCACTTTGACTGCTGTGTTTTTTGGAGGCGAACCTCGGTCGGTGGCTTTCACTTTCAAGGTGTACAGCGCCACCTTCTCCCGGTCCAGTGGTCTGGTGGTTCGTATTTCACCTGTGGCTCGATTGATGCTGAAACTGTTCTCTCTGTTGCCGTCAACTATGGCATAATCCAGGTGTCCGTTGGTACCACTGTCCAGATCAACAGCAGAGACCATCAGAACGTGCTGAGGTGAAAGGTTCTCCAGTATTTCAGCATGAAATGGATCCTTATTAAACACTGGGTGGTTATCATTCACATCCAGTAAAGTTATTTCTATTTTCTCGTAGGAGGAATAAGGTGGGAAGCCTTGATCTCTGGCCTCGACCCAGAGAACGTACTTCTGAATGTGCTCATAATCCAGCGGGTGTCTGATGGATAACTCGCCTGACAGCTGGTCTATGTGAAAGGCATAATCCAAGTTGCCACTAGCGATGTAATACGACAACGGTCCACCTCTCCTTGAAGACCCCGTCACAACTGTAACAATGTGGTTGTTGGGTTGATTCTCTGGAAACGTGAACGCTCGCTCCTTCAGCTTGATGACAGGGAAGTTTCCACCGTTAACAAACCGTACGGTCACTGTGGTCATATCCGTTTTGGGGTTAGCTCCACCATCTTTCACTTGAACTGTAAGGGTAACTTCCGAGCTTCCAGTCAGCCTCTCGTTGGCTATGATGGCACCTCGTACAGGGTCGATCCTGAACTTCTCAGTGTTGCGCCCCATCAAGGAGTAGTGCAGCTGGCCGTTTGAACCAGAGTCCTCATCGGTGACGGTAACGGCAAAGACCAAGGACCCTGAAAACATAAAGGAGTAATTTTATTTTATTATACTCTTTTGCAAACCATGACATTCTGGACACCTTTTAGGGCTTCCATACCAACCTGCTGCAGTAGAGGCAGGGATGTGGGTCACATACGGGTGGTGATGGAAGCGTGGAGGGTTGTCATTGATGTCGGCCACTGTCACGGACACCGTGGCTGAGCTGGACAAGCCCTCGGGCTGCCCTCCATCTGTTGCAACAACCAGCAGCTGGTAATTGGCCCTGTCCTCTCGATCCAGCAGGGAACTGGTGATGATCTGTCCTGTGGCTGGGTTGATGGAGAACTGTCCATGTCCACCAGTCAGGCTGTAGCTGTAGGAAATGTACAGAACAGGTTTACTTATAACGGACATTAAACAGGTCTGTAGTGTGAAGTAATCTATAGTGCAGTTGTTTTGTGATGTAGATAAAGTTAAATATTAAACCCCTCAATTAGTTTTCAAACGTGCAATACTCCAACTAGCTGTTGATCTATAGACGACTAAAGAACGTTACAAAACCTACCCAGTAATTGTTACTACATGATTACATACTGCATCCAACACAAGCAAAACATGGCATCCATCACAGCATGCGAGTTACAAGCTGTCATGACTGATGACTTGGGGGGGGGGGGGGGGGCTTCTTTGCTTTCAAATATCACGTTTCATCCTGAGTCCTCATCTGCAGGATCTCAGACATAAATGTAAACCGACACATACATGTACACGCCATTGACTATTTTGAAAAGGCTTGCAGGAAAAATACCCCCACCCCCCACCCCGAGATGGAAAGACAAATTGCAGAACAATGTGTGAACTATGAGTGGATGTAAAGCTTTTTTAGACGTCGTCACCACAGATGCCTGTGGTCAGAAGTTGTTGAAGAAAAAAAGTCCATATTTGGGGTTTAATAGTGAGAATTAAAACGGATTACTGAAGGTAACTGTTTCTGGACTTTATTAGGGGCCTTGAACCCCCTGGAACCCCCTGATGGGCACATCTCATACTGTCATGGACAATTAACATCCTCATTACTGTGTTTTGGGAAACTGGAACACACTGCGGTACCCCCAATGTGTACTCAGTGGGGTTACTGAGGAAAGAGGCGGGGTTGGACCTGAGTCTGCGTCCGGTTTGAGGGAGGCTGAGCCAGAGGGCCTTACGAGCTCCCCTGTGAAGGTGAAAAAGCTTAACAAGCTTGAAAATCACAACTGAAAACAAAGGCGTCTGGTTTTTAGCTAAAGCTGCGCGAGCTGAAACCAAACCACAGTCGTGTTGACGCACTGGCCTGAGGGTTCACTGGAGATGATGATGGGAAAAGGTATAAAAACCTAGGATGGTATCCACCTTATTCCTCTGGCTCTACTGTATAAATGATTATGGGTACAACTTCCTGTCAGACAAAGGAAGTGGTAGTTGTAATTAGTAGTGACTGTAAAGCTCAGTTACAATCAGCTTAACTGACTGTAAATGAGATGAATTTTCATACCTTATGACACCATTGATGCCTACGTCTGCGTCCGAGCTATTGACCAGCAGCACATCTGTTCCTGTCGGGACATCCTCGGCGATGGTTGTGTGGAAGGTGGAGGAGGTGAAAACGGGTACGTTGTCGTTAACGTCATCCACCAGGACCGTGACTGTACCCGTTCCGCTCAGAGATGGGGAACCTGGAGGCAGAGTGAGGAAATAATATACAGGTAAATAAAACCCATAGGTTCCATTAGGACTCTCGTTGAACGTACGCTTGCATCAGCAGGTTTCCACCAGAAGAGCATTTAAATCAAAACAAATGTTCCCGAGCTCTGCTTTACATTTCCATTGGCTCAGTCAGACGAACGGAGCTGAAACCAAATCTCTTAGTCGTCCTTCCTGGGGTCCTGGACACTCGGAGATAATGTCCACACTGAGGTTTCTATTTTAAGGTGCACAGGAATTTGAGCAAAGTGCTATTTTCAGCAAAATTCTAGCCAGAACAGGCCTGACGGGGCCCAGTGGGGTTAGATTTTAATCAATAGCAGATAAAAATGAAACCCAACATAGAGGAAAAAAAATATTAAAATCTGTCTTATTTTAGATGCTCTTCTTAATATTTTAACGGCGTTTAAACGGCCTAATCTACATTCAGAACATAAACACACGTTCAGCCTCATTACTGAGAGCCACACTGTGGGGTTTGGGGACATCTCTAAAAGCCTGGAGATGTTTTCACTCCTTAATGATGTGCATATGCCTTACAGAGTAAATACTATAAGCACCGAGGGCACCTGAGCAGAAAAGAGCAAACTGAGATGTGAAAGCTTTGAGAGGCTTTTCCACCTTCTCCATCATGAAGCTGCTCCTTTCTGCAGGAATCTGCGTGAATATATCCAAATGCTCCAAGATAAAACCAGTCTGTGTGCACAGCTGCTGAAAACATCAGATGCTTGAAAATGTGTACCGTGGGAGCCTGGATTAATGAAGAGATCAAAAAAAGACTTGGATGGTGTCCTCTCAATGCTGCTCTGTGAAAAATCAAAACATACAGAATCTGAGAAAACAAGGTTGCAGAGCGGTGGGGGTCAGCGTGAAAGCTGAAGGGACTCTGGCTTTATTACTCAGCCAACATTGATTATTTTATTTTATAAATATAAGAAAATCAGGGCGATTTTCTTCTTAAACGTTGCACTACTTCCCGATTATCTTTGCCTCAAACGCCTCACGAGATGATACATGGTGAGAAAACAACACTTTTTCTACTAAAAATAGTTAAGAAATAATAAAGTACCAGCCAGAGTCTTATTGTCTAAATGCTTTTTAATAAACCGTCTCCATGTTGTTCAGTCCATGGCTTTTTTTAAACAGGAAATCTTAACTTTTAGTTTGACTGTTCATAAATAAAGGCTGATTTTTAACAGGCTGTTTCCTCTTCATATCAGCTTTTTGTGTCTTGGCTCCACTTTTGAAGGATGTGGGAAAAATCACAGAAGTATAGAGGGACCAGAACTGCCAAATGAAGTCCTCTGCTTCTTTGTATTAGTCCAAAACAATGTTAAATGCACGTGGAGGCACAAGACTCAAGGCTAAATGGCTCTGCAGCTAATTCTCCAGTGTTTATTAAATAACTACAGCTAAAAAACTAAAAAATGTTGAAGAATTGTAATAACACTGAATGACTCACAAGAGTAAAAAACTAAATATTGTGGGGAAAAATACCTACCTAGCTTGGATGCTAATTGTGCTACATGATAGCTAGCTAGTTCGCTTGTCCTTTGAAAATAAAGCTTTAAAAGTGTCTTTCAGTTTTTCTGTTTGTTTGGCAGAACATTTTTACATGAGCAAGTAGATACAGCAAAGATGATCTAGATTATCAGTTTTACAGGCAAAACGTATTGTCAAGATACGTAAGGGCCCACAGGAAATAACTGTTAGCATAGCACACTCTTCTAACAGCCCAGTGATTGGTACCGTTGACCAAGTCTGGGAGAGAAAAGCTAGAAAATCAAATACCGTTTGACAGTTGTTTAAAGAAGTAGTTACTAGTTCAGTCTAGATTTATTTAAATAAAATATAAGATAGGAACACTGTTGTCCCATAAATGATATGTCAGGAAAAAAAATATTGTTGCGTACCCTCAATATGTTTTGAGCTCTGAAGTAGGGCAGCAAGTACCCCACCGTTATGAAGCTTTATTTGATGTAATTTAAAATCTGGATTAAGGAGCATTTGCACAGATTCTTTGATTGTCTGCACAAATTGCCAATTAAACTCAAATTCAGATGCTGTGGGACTTCCGGATCCAGACCGACAAATAGGTGACGGCTAACCAACCGGACATGGTGCTGGTCGACAAGCAAGAGAAGGCGGCAGTGGTGCTAGAAGTAGCAATCCCAAGAGACTGTAACATCAGGAAGAAGGAGCAAAGCGTCGAAGCATCAGTAGTTCCAGTGGTTATTGGAGCACTCTGTGCTGTGACCCCCAAACTGGAAGAGTGGCTCCAACAGGGAACCACCTCAGAGATCTCTGTCCAGAAGAGCACAGTCCTTTGAACTGCCCAAGTGGAAAAAAAAAAGGTGAGCTGGAGTGTTCTATACTGTTATTTGTCTATATTGTTCTACAAGCAAAGACGTCACAAGGGAACGCAAAACTTTGGCGAGGCCATGCAAAAACTGATTTTTTTCTGTCATAACCCATACAGACTCTGTAGAATACACATATAAACCATGAGCTTTTGTTCTTGGACCGACTTTACGTTTCATTACTTTAAAGTAAACGCGCATAGAAGTTGACGCTTGATGTACAGAACCAAGACACGAAACGCTGTAAGAGCTTGAACTAAAATGATCTACAAGCTGCTGTTAAGTTGCTGAAATAACCTCTGATTTCTCTGTGGGCAGAAAGAGAGAAACAGAATTTCCCAACAAACAAATCTCAACATTATTGTTGGGGTTTGGGAAGGGGATTCCTCCCAAAATGAGACTCGAGTTGGTTTACTGGAACCTAACATCACAGCCTGGCTTTATGATAATAAACAGACATTTGACCCGAAGCTTGAAACGTCTCCAGTTTTTCTGGTCAGAACAGAAGTGGATAACATGCACGTTCAGAATAAACACAGCTGAACTCCAGAAGCAAAACAAACGGTAAACATCGGTAAACATTTTTATTTGATCCCAAAGGAGAACCAGAAATCATACAACACTAATCTCCAGTGACTCGTCGCCGCAGTGACTCAAACATCTAAACGTTGGTGACTTTTGAAAATCCTCGTGTTTATAACCACGAGCAAAAGATGTTGAAATCAAGGTGATTATGTATTTTCGTTTTTCGAACAATTCTGCAATCGTTGGCGATTTACACGGGGACATCTGACCGCACGTTTGGCGTTAAGCGTTCATAATTACCTGTAACGCAGTCCAAAGGTTAAATGTGAGCACAAACATAACAAACACCAACTGATACACATGTATCCAAACAAATGTGGTCTGCGGACAAACGGGCCGTCATCGAGCCTTCCTGCTGCGTTCTGATCCAGCTACGTTCAGATGGGTCATTGTTTCCCTGGGTTGCCATGGTAACAGATTAACGCTGATCCTCTTATTTTGAGGAACAATCTGAGGTGTCTGCATCGTTTTAAATTAAATTAACCGGGACAAAGCGTGTTTGACAGTCGACGGCTGGCTAATACCGTTGTTTGTCGTTGATCAAAGACGCTGTGTGCAGACCAGACTCGATCAGCTGGTACTGTAAGTGGCTCTGGGGCTTTAAGTGGCTTTGTCAACAAAAGCCATTAGCTCCTATCAATTGGCTGAGCACATGGAGAGAAATGATGAAACCGGCTGATGTATAGCAGCGTTCTGCCACACAGAGAGCGCTGTGGTTGCGTTTCACTCGGATCGTTTCCTCACACGAGAAGCAGCAGCTCCGGCTACGAGCCTCTGGTTGTTTCAGAGCTGCTGAACACAAGGACTTCCTTCAACGCATTTTACTTCTGGGCAGGATGTGATGTCACAACCTGTTTACAGTCTAGGGTGACTCGACAGCCTCCTTCACTTCTGGCGTCCAACACATCAGGGACTCTGAGGCTCAGGACACCGTGACGCCGGTTAAGTCTGAGTAAAAACAGAAGACACCCCCACTACCTTTGTAAGGAGCTGAACGATTCTTATTGCAAAGTATGAAGTTGATGAACAAGAACCAGGGGCGTCTCCAGATGTTAACAGGGGGCCACTGAAAATCTTGGTGTGCCAAGCACTCAGGTTTCCTCCCACAGACCAAAAACATGCGTTGGACTAATTGGTAACTCTGAACTGTCTCTAAGTGAGAGATGGAGTGAATGGTTGTCTTGTTTGTCTCTGTGTCCCTGTGATGGACAGACCTGTCCAGGGTGTCCCCTGCCTCTCGCACAGAGACTGCTGGACATGAGACACCAGGGGCCGTCTTGACCCAGAAAAAGAAAACTGGTAAAGATGATGGAAGGATGGATGAAAGGATGAATGCATGGATGGATGGATGGATGGATGTACCCTCCTGAGACCTGCATTCTGATGTTGACATGGTTTTCAACCTGTTGTCCCATTTGGGGTGGGGGTGGGGGGATCTATGTTTCAAGTTTTATTTTTAACATTAAATAAAATAAATATTTGTAATTTTCATTCTTGCTCAAAAATGTTTGTTTTTACATTTATGAGGTTCTATTAATCCTAAACAGTTGGGGTAAAATTAAAAACGCACGCCAAGCAAAATCTTGGGACTCCAGACGATAAACCTGTTTGGCCAAGGGGGGCCAGTGAGAGGGGCACCAGTTTTTTAGTGGTGGCCGTCACCCCCCTGGCTCCCCCTCAGCGGTGCCCCTGATCAAATGGTGTAGTTTGAACAGGTTTACTCCAGGAGTCGTCTAAATATACTGATATAAACTTTGGGCCCACACAACACAAACGGCACTCGGACGAATCTGCTGAAATCCACGTCGACGCTCGAGTCACTCGACTTTCTCCTGATTTGTCGGTAAACAAACGCTAACCTTGTTGAAATATGGTCACAAATTTAGCTCGCAAATTAACCATCAATAAGAGAAAATCATCGTGCAGATGTTTATTTATTTTTGTCTAAGTTTTTTGGCTCTTTCAGTCAGACTTGAACCTATCCTGACCCCCGCCGTGCGGCCGGACATCCGAGCGTTCCCCGCATC